GATCTCTACGGATCTGATACATGTTGCGATGACGAAATCGTGTGGGTTGATGGTAACATCGATCTGCCAGAGCAACAATTTCTTTATAATTGTATTGAATAATCAGTAATGTAAGTACAACGCTGTGGCGAACAACTCAACTACAGATATTCACTGATGTATGAAATTAATAGACTGAATATCTCGTTCACAACAGTAAACAATGAAGTGATCTTCTCACGACATGGCGTTTTATGATCACCAGAAAAAGAAGAACGACATTACAACAAAATATATGGCTTGAGAGTGTGGGTATCAATGAAAAATACAATCCACAGACACACCCACACCCTTTAGATCAAGATAGTCAATGAGTTGATTCAGCTAAATGATGAAATAAAAATTTTGTATGTTAATTCAAGTATACATATCTGTGCATGAACTATTGGATGATGAGATTGTAATGTTTAAATAACCGATGTTTCACTAGAATAAATTCTCGTAATAGCTGTTTGAAACGATACGGATTAAAGTTATTTGTTATCTATAATGCCACACTGAAAGAAAATATCATGTCATATATTCAAATCTTTTAATGCACTCATAAGAATGATTTTATTACTATCAGTTGAAAGAATGACTACACGTGGTTTCTCAAAAACATGTATTATTTGTAGTCCAACTGTAGCAAGTAAACCTAATTCAGTGGATCCTAAACGAACGTTCTTTTGTAAAACAAGTTCACCAATCTGAATATCATCACCAATACCTCTAAACAGAACATAGGCATACTGAAGATAGTTTACAAATTCAAGTTAAACACATACCTAATATATCTTGATTCAATGAACATTCAGGAATAATACACATACTCTTCTCGTATCGGGTAATTCAGTACCGATATTAATCACTGCACATTGATCTTCCACAAGTGGTGTATTAGTCTGAATTAAAAGAGTTCGAAGTCGAACAAAATAATTCAATATTTTCTCCTCCAACATATAAACGTGCACTATTCACATTGTAGACAACTAATCAACTATCTAACATTTGACTGCATATTAGTATGTCATAGTTAGTTCAGCACGTCGATTTTGAATAAAATCTGTTGCATGTCGTAGAACTAAATAAAATCTAAGCATTCCTTCAACGGAACGAAAAATAACTTGGCTTCTGTAAGACAGAATCATTTTTAATACGCACTACGCAACAATTACTACTACTACTACTACTGGTCAAGATAGAAAAGATAGAATGAGTTTCAGCTCGAAAGCATAGCCATGTGTGTAATTACTAATGACTTCGCAATCATTGTTTGTGCTAGACCAGGAATTTTCTTTGTAATAAGGGTGCGGGTGTGGGGTGTTATTCTTCCCCTCATAGTCCCATACACCCAAACCCTGTGATATCTTTTGTTTTTTCAATACAACTTATTAAAGGATTGAAAGTTGATACACAAAACGCGACCATTAAACCCGTTATGCGTTATATTAGAAATCGCGTATGCCTAGTACAAAAAAATGATAGACTACAACAAAACACAAGACTTAGAAGTCTGAAATTTTGCATATAATCCTAAATATCTCTAGGCATTATAACGGTATAGTTAGCTTTTGGCCAAGTCTTTTAAGAGAGCCGGGAAAACCCTTTTGTAGTGCCCCATGTATTACATTCAAATAGCCTATTTTGTTCAGCTTTTAATTCTCTATTTTTTTATGTATACCGTGAAAATTTTCAATAATCTGCTGAAACACAAGTTGGTACATCTTTTATAGGATACTTTTTGTTTTTCGCCAAAAAAATATGATAGTGCTAAAAGTCGGTATTGACTAACTTTTCACAGGAAGGGTATTAGAACCTAAAATTTTAGGGTCAGTAGTTTTAGACATTGAAGTTTTGAATGAGCGAATTCGACAAAGAATTCTATCTAGATCATTTTCACTAATTATATTTTCATATGAAACAGAAGATAAGCAAATCACAGTTAAATCATCAAAAAGACTTTTTATTGATAAATCTAAGACAAAAAATAATATCAGATGATCATCCCAGTTAACAAAAATCTAATAATGATGAATAAGAAACGAAAAATATCACAATGGATCATGAGAAAAAGTTTTTCAATAAATGATAGACAAAAGACAAGTGATGATCAAATTCAAGAGAAAAAACCTGATAATGAACAAGTAACAGAAGGTTTAACAATCATGAAAGACAATAAACGATATGATGATAACAAATACGATTACCAGAATATACTAAAGTGAAATAGTCTATCTATTAGATTGCATACACAATGGAACACATTAACTTTGATTCGTGACATTTTGAGCCTTCACAATTTGATCCATTGCTACCATGAATTGCACTTTTGTTAAATCTTTTTCATTCCACATCTTCACGAGTTCTATTATCTTATCTTGAAGTGCTTCATCAGAATCCTATCAAATGAAAATATACACTTCATCATTCAGTAAAGCGAATACCTGTTTCTTTGCCATTATCCTTTGTTTTATTCTCAACTACGAATGTGAATAACTGACGATAATGGTAAATAGAAAAGTCTCACATATATATTCAGTCGAGAGCAATTGAAATTATACCCATGAACTCTTTTTCTTGTTTATTACTGTACGCTTTTTATCTATTGATCCACTATATACATATATAGAAAGCCCACAGTGTGCTGCATCTTTTGCTATATATTTAGGTTGAACATAAAATGCATTTGAAAGTACAAAAAAATGTATTAGAAGAAAAATTGACATTGTATTTCTTTACATAACTAGATGTCCATAACATTGTAACATTTTTTATTTCACGTATATCTCGGCTTAGTTAAATGACCAAACATTGAATGCTTTCCCAAAAGATGCGCCATGAAAAACTCTACAAAAGCTGTATGATCGAACTCCTTTTAACATATTATAATGGTTTTTTTATACTCAAAAATGAACAACTTACATGACAATGTCGCTTCTCATCATACTGAAAATATTTCGAGCACTTTTATTCGCTATAGGATTTGATCTATACCGTTTTTGCGGAGCTATTATACAAGTCTTGTAGAACTTTCAACGGGACATCTTTTAGAAAAAAATTCAGTATTCCATAATTTTCACAAGTCGAGATATGTACAGAACAAAAAAGTCTTCCAACATTTTCCGTATGATGGTAAGGGACACTGTCATGTAAGTTGTTCATTTTTGAGTATAAAAAAATGACCATTATAATAGATTAAAAGGAATTCAATCGTACAGCTTTTGTAGTTTTTCACGGCACATCTTTTGAAAAAATATTCAATGTTTTGTCATTTACCTAAACCGAGGCATACGTGAAATAAAAAATGTTACAATGTTATGGACATCCAATTATGTAAAGAAATACAATGTCAATTTTTCTTCTAATACATTTTTTTGTACTTTCAAATGCATTTTATGTTCAACCTAAATATATAGCAAAAGATGCAGCGCACTCTGGACTTTCTTCCTAATTACAGTAGATCAATAGATAATAAGTATATATGGAAATAAAAAAAAATTAAAGGATAATTTCAATTTTCTTCGACTATCGATGCTAATTCGATTGTTACTGTGAATAGTCTAGCTATCAATTATAGTTAGACTCGTCAGCTCTATCTATGAAAATCACTGTCATTCGAATGGCTAAACAATAGTTTTTACCAGTCTATATGGCTCTGAGTTAACTATGTCTAATAATCACGTTAATACAATAGGTTTCTCGGTAAGTATCAACATTATATTATTGTCTAAAAAAAGTAACTACCTGCTTTTCTGCCATTTTTCTTTGTTTTATATGACGTGTATGTTGAAGACAAAACACAATACGATAATGAAGGGTAGAAAAAAAGGACGAATAATTTATAGAAAAAATGTATAATTGCTCGTCAGGTATGTTCATTTTTTTCACTTCTACCAACGAACTCATTGACTTGACGTATCGTACGGCGTTGTTTTATTGCTATCAAAAACAAAAATCGTCCATAGCTGAGGGTCATCGATTTAGTTTACTTGTATATGTCGTAGGATAGATTAAAATCCAGTACAGTTTTAAATCGAACTAGGACAGATTAAAATTTTAATTTTTCCTAGTTCAGATTAAAATCTTAAAGTGAACTAGTTGACTTCGAAATGCATTTTAATCTCAACTAGTTGACTTAAAAATTTTGATCTGAACTAGGAAAAATCAAAATATTTTAAACTGAACTAGAACAGTTTCAAATATTTTAATCTGAACCAGGACAGATTAAAATATTTTGATTTGAACTAGTTCAGATTGAAATATACACATTTGGATGGATAATAGGTGAAAGTGAAGGCGAGCGCGAGGACGCGGGTAATAGTTCCATCTTCACTCATCATCATTCACCATAGACCCTTGTCGTCACCCCAACGCGTATCTTCAACCAGCCAGCCACGGATAATTTGACTAAACATTTTAATGTGTCCTAGTTCAGATCAAAATTTTAAAGTCAACTAGTTGAGATTAAAATGCATTTCGAAGTCAACTAGTTCACTTTAAAATTTTAATCTGAACTAGGAAAAATTAAAATTTTAATCTGTCCTAGTTCGATTTAAAACTGTACTGGATTTTAATCTATCCTACGACATATATGTTTGTCTCTTTTTCTATCGTTTATTATCATCGGTTGTTTATCTTTCGTCGTAGCTGTGATAAAACAAAGAAAAATGGTGCAGAATGAGCAATAAACTTCGCGATTGGGTGTCATTTTGATGCCGAGGGGAACGTATTAAACACATCATCATGGATGTGACTAACAATTATGGTCATTCTAAAGTTACATATTACATTAAAAACTATGTCTAGTAGCTATAATAAGGGGATAGTTTTAATTAGTAGTGTTTATGACTGTAGGTTTATAGTTGATAAATACATCTCTGTTTGAAGGTTATAGTTATGATTGATAATTAGAATTATTTAAAATTTGTTTTTTTCAACTATCAATCTCTTTAAAAATTCTTATGAATCAATTTTTATGAATGTTACTCACTGATATTTCACCAATATTATTTTCATATGAAGTTCTTTGACTAGTTGAATACTGAGCAATTGATGAAGGTTCTTTTGAAGAATCATTACTCTATAAAATAAAAAATTCTAGAGAAAATTTTCGCATCTCAATTTTATGTCATGTTACTTCTTCACTAATATTTCCAAGAGCAAGATCAAGTACATCTTCTTCAGTTAATTCTTTGTCATCGGCGTGTTCGTAATTCACACCCTCAATTTTCACGTAATACATTATTTGTTTTATGTTGCTCTTGTGTATGAAAATAATGTGGTTGTACTAGATTTTCTTCAATTTTGTTTCGTTGTATATCGAGTAGTTATGCAAATTCATCTTTACGTCATTTTTTCATATGGCGTAGATGGTTCAATTTACTTTTTTTAAAATTTTCTTCACATGCATTACATATATAATCATCATTACCTAGAACACAATAAGAATGTGTTTGAAATGGTGAATGCAGCCAGAAAAATTTAAGAGATCAAAAAGAAAAGAAACTTGCTTACGATTTTTTCGTGGATCGTAACTATCAAATAGTCGTTGAACAGCTGTTGTTAAATTAGCCATCTGAAAAGAAAACACTTAATATTGTCCTTTGGAACTAGAAAAGAACATTTGGTGAGATAACAATAGTAAAGACAAGATACAAATATGAATGATGAATAAATAATAGACGAATAGAAAACAGAAATGTCGATGGAAGCCAAACGTTTCTCGGAATGCAGTGGCTCTTAGAAAAAGTCTTTTGAATTTTACAGCTGTGATCATTTTGCATTGAAATTGTTCATACTAAACGATAAGATTCGTTTGTTCAATCTCATAGTTTACATTTGCGAATATTGATATTCTGTGTAAACTCGTGCATTTTCCTTTTATTCTGGAACAAAAATTCTGGTGGCATGTCTATGTCATATAAAATTGTACTTTTAATCTATCTTCGTTTTCTATATATTGACAAATAATAATAATAAAAAATAAAATAGAAAATTCTAACATTTCCTAAATATATTTCTAAAATAAATTGAAAAATGTAAATTAGGGTGTGGGTGTGTGTGGACCTTCGATTTATACTTCCAATCCCACATCTGCATTTTTGTATTGATCAATTAAGATTGTTAGATAAATATATAATTAACATGAAATAGATTAAGTAATGCTACAAAAAAAATCAATGATACTGTCGAAGTATGTACTTCATGGTTTTTTTAAAACTTATCTTACATAGATTCTTAAAACGGAACCAAAAGAATGTTGTCCTATCATTCCTTTTTTTCGACAATGTGACTCCAAGAACTAGCCATTATGTTTATCACTGATGAGTCACAGTTCCAAAATTCACAACATAATTGTTGTTTTTTGTTTTCAGGAGACTATGTAGCTAAGACAATTTCGAAAAAATTAATTAATACTGAATGAGTGCTATACTTTGACATTAATGAATTCTAATGCACATAAATATAATGAAAAATTCATAAAAAAGCAGAATACAATGAGCAAGATCCATGTGTATCTAAGTAATGTTTACTTTTCTTGTTGTTGTTTGTTTTGATTCTTTATCATTTTTAATTATCATATGAATGAGAATAATACCTCTCCTTTTAATTCCTGTATATAGTGCTCTTTATCCTCTCCTCTCAAATTTATCGTCCTCTCCAGTCTATCAATCGATTGTTCAGCTATTCCACTACGTGGTTGTTCAATCAACATTCACCCAAATGCTCGATGGAAACAAAATGGTCTCACTGTAGCTGGAGGAAATGGACGAGGCAATGGAATCAATCAACTCTCATACCCATCGGGTTTGTATGTTGATGATGATCAAACTGTCTATGTCGCTGATTCGCCAAATCACCGTATTGTAGAATAGAAATCGGGTGCGACGAGTGGCCAAGTGGTTGCCGGTGGAAATGAAGAAGGAAGTGGGACTCATCAATTGTCTCGTCCATTAGATGTGATCGTCGACAAAGAGAGAGATAGTCTCATCATCTGCGATCGTTCAAATAAAAGAGTGGTTCGATGGTCTCGTCATAATGCGACACGTGGAGAAACGATCATCTCGAAGATCGATTGTTGGGGTTTGACAATGGACGAGAATGGATCTCTATATGTCGTTGACTTTGGAAAAGGTGCAGTGAGACGATATCAAAGAGAAGAATCTCAAGGAATAGTGGTTGCAGGTGGCAATGGATATGGAAATCGTCTCGATCAACTCTCTAGTCCACAATACGTATTCGTCGATCAAGATCATTCAGTGTACGTATCTGAATGTGGAAATCATCGTGTGATGAAATGGGTGGAAGGTGCAACGCAAGGCATTGTCGTGACTGGTGGTCAAGGAAAAGGAAATGGTCTTACACAATTGTCATATCCTGAAGGAGTCGTTGTCGATCAATTGGGCACTGTCTATGTGGCTGATTATGAAAATCATCGAATCATGCGTTGGCCCAAAGGAGCCACACAGGGAAGTGTGATCGTTGGTGGGAACGTTCGAGGAGGGCAATCGAAGCAACTCGATCAGCCCATCAGTTTATCATTCGATCGACATGGTAATCTCTATGTCGTCGATTTCGGAAATCATCGAGTACAAAAATTCAATATTGAATTCAAAGGATAAATAAATACCGAGCTCTATTTATAAAAAGAAAAGAAAAGATCATTTTGAAGTAGTTTTTTTCTAAAGAACAAAAAATTTCTTTTGTATTTTTTTTTATTGTTCTAAAATTTGTGATAATAATAATAATAACAATAATAAAAATAAAATAATTTGTAAAAAGATCCGACACCACAAAACATTTAAAAAAAATCGGAAACCAATAAATAAAAAAATGTTTTTGGAAACCTCAAATTCATAAAAAAATTTTCAATTTCCTGCGAATCTATAAAAGAATTTACCAAAATAGGTACAAACCTAGTAGCCCAACCCTCATTCATTTCTTACGGAATCTGTATTTTTG